GGCCTCTTGCTCTGCCGTAGCTGCTCCTTCTCGGCAAAGCCCGGTAAAGCAACAACCCACGGCATCATCCCCCAGCTCCCCTGCCTCAGGGCACCTCTCTTCTCTACAGAGCAAGACACCATGCTCTGCAGAAGACAACGTCCCACTGCAGCCAGGCAATGCGAGGGCAGATGCTCCAGAGCCCCCACCCCTGCAAGCCCCTCTGCAACGTGGCCGTCCGGCCCGGGACACCCTCCCTGTGCCCGGTGACACCTCCCCGCAGGGTACGTCCCTCCCTGGCCCCCTCCGTGCCCCTCGGCAGCCCAGGGACACCTGGGGAGCCAATGCAATGCGCTGGGTGTGCGGTCGATTTGCATCGAAGGGATAAGGGGAAACCCCAGGAAACGCATGGCCCAGGCATTAATCAAATCTATCTCTAATAATAAACTTCCCGAGCAATGCGTGGGCTCGGGGCTGGAGCTCGCAGTGCAATGGCAGGAGCCGAGGTGGACTAGACGCTGCGGGAGAGTCAATCGTGAGTTACCCCTTGGAGGGGCTGCACGGGGAGATGGGGGTGAGGGGCTTGTCCGTGCCCAGGCTTGGGGCCATGGTGACATTTCCAGAGCGCTGGCAGGGAGCAGAGGGTGTCCCCAGGCTCTTGCTGGAGGAGCAGAGCTACCAGGCTTCCACCCTGCTGGAGAAGGTCAGTGGCACGGGGCTGGGGATGAAACGGTCGCTTAATGCTTTGGACGAGGGGTCCGTAGGGGAGTTTGGGGTGCTGGTCCCTGGTGGGTGCAGAGGCAGAGCGGGAGACGCACCCGGTTCTGATGGAAAACGCCCGGCTGCACCGTGCCGGGAGCACCACGCGTACCTTGAGGCTCCGCGGGGAGGGGAGTTCAGCCATCGGGCAGGATTTTTCCCAGATGAGGCCAAACACCACCTTGGACCTGCCCGAGCAGCAGCGGGGAAGGAGCTGCCCAGCCTGCAGCCCCTCGGCTACAGCCCCAAATCTCCGTTTCCCATGCAGTCATCCCATGTGAAACCCCACCGTAGCTCAAGGGTGGCCGGGCTCGCCGCCATCCCCAGGGCTCGCTGCCATCCGTGGGAGGTCTTCTCATTCTTTTTGGGTACAAAACATCTTCAAAGAGCATCTGAGGAGAGCGCTGGCCTGAGCCTCCCTCTGCCCTGGGGAATGACTTCAGTCAGCTTCATAGAAAGTAATTATTTAATTTTATAGCAATGTTAATTGAACAACTGGGACCATAAGGCCAGCATCCCCGTGCAGAGTGGATTTATCCCTGCGAAGGGGAGGGTTTTACTCGTGCTGCCCCAGGTAGGGGCCAGCTCACAGCAGGCAGCGGGGGAAGCCCATCCTCAGCCCCTCTGCGGGGAAGGTGCCGTGCAGGCAACGGCAGGACCAAAAAAAGACGCCCCAAGTGCCCGACTGCCGCACGTTCCCAGGTACTAGAGAGAGAGGAGAGATCCCCCATCAGAGTGCAGAGGCTTTTCCATATAAAAATCAAATTTTGGCTTTGCAAAGGCAGCGGTGCAGCCTTCGGGCAGGCGGAAGCCGGTGCCATGCTGCAGCATGGGGGAGTTTTAAACCTTTTGGGCCCCGTCAGCATCGGCATCGTCCGCCCGTGCAGGAAACAGCTGCGGCTCCCCGGCACAGCTCCGCAGAGGGATGTGGTTGCCCACGAGCCCTCTCGGTCAGCAAAAGGCACATTTCCACTGCGGCCACCCTCGTGCTGGGTTAGCGCTTCCT